ATACATCTCTCACTCACTCACTCACTCACTCACTCACTCACCCATTGACCCGTCCATAACATACCCGACGCGCCGACTATGAGGTATTTTTTTGTAAAAAAAAATAACTCAAAAATAGTTGCATGTCTCATAGGTTGCCAGCTTTTACTGTTAACATGTCCTCACATTATTTTAGCCAATCATACATGTAAGCACTTTATTTCAAGTTGAACTCCATTTCTTAGAGGTCTTTGTTTTGAAGACACCCTAGAGAAACAGTGACAAATGCCTTTAAGTGGCTTAGAAAACATGACCACAGTTTCTACAGAAAGTCACTTACTCCAATTTAGCAATCAATCCTGTGACTTTTCTATGTACTTGTGCACATTTTGCTTGAGAAATACTTTCTGCAGTTTTCCGAGTCAATTTTTGCAGGTATTTTATTCTACTCAGGTTTAGTGTAATTATACTGAATCAATTATTCCCCTTTGTGTCAGTGGCTAGTGGTGGATATTTATGTCACTGCTTCACAGCTTGGTAAATTTCCATCACTAGATCCACCTCCACTAAATGCTAAAATAAAAAGCTAATTTTGTCTTTGCCATATATTTTCAGTTACATGTAGCACTACAAATCTTGCAGAAGCCAACTGATCAATAAAATCAAAGATACAACCAGTTTCATAGTTGTTCAATTTTATTTTGTAAATGTGAGGTCTTTTCTTTTAAAAATAACAAATGGTTTCCTGGGTGTCACATAAAAGGTAATGTAAAATTTACCTTTTTTAAAGTTCCTGGATGTCCTAAGTGAATAATTGACCACTCACAACCTGTTAACCAAGACAAAATGTATTGACATTTTGAGACTATGTACTGATGCCCGACTGTTAAGTAAGGGTAACATATATTGTTTGCAGTGTTTTGGTACTTGTTTTTTATTGAGTAGTATGCGACTCAAAGGGTTAACCAAAACGTTTATCAGGTCCTCCGCTGGGAACATCCAGAGAGTACTGTCGTGATGAGGAATTTAATAGTGTTTTCTAGGATAACTTTTTCTCAGGATAGGGCTGACAGATTAACAGATTAACCCTTCTGCCCAACATACGGGTCTCCATATATCTGCATGTCTGCTGATCCCAGAAGCTCAAAACACCACAAATCATGCCAATTTGAAATGAAATCAATGCAACCTAGATCACAGATCTATGTTACAATTGATCGCTACTTGTTGGCCATTATTATGTTTAAACAATCTAGTTACCAGTTCGTCACTTAGCATGGTTTTGCACTCACCCCTTCAATTGTAAGTCTAAAATATCATCAAGGCAGCTTAGCAATACCTCCTAAATAAAATTATAAACTAAGGAAAACCATAATTTGCTATGCACTTCTGTGTGAGTTTGACTATCTGCCATGCAGTGTGACTTGGCTTTGGCGTGCTCTTACCGTCCCAAACTAAATTCATAGCCTGCTCAGCATCAGCTCCCATTGCTAATATTTGTAGCATTGAAAATGGCCTTCAGCAAAGCAAATGTCTTCCGATCGTCTGTGCGACTGATTAAATTCAACGTTTAGAATCACCGCTGTTCTCTTGTCATTGCCACTGCTGGGGCAAATTTATTTGAGGTTGGAACGGCAGAAGCATGATGTTTGGACCAGGCTGAATTCCAACTGAGGTCAGATCGTGGGATAGATTTCAAACAGTCTTACTCTATTTTTCAATAAGACTTGCTTCCTTGGTCTAGCTGGATCACGTTAATAAAACCTCTTCGTTTCATTTAGTGCATCAAATTAATTTGTTTTTCCATCAAGATCAAAATTGAGACACATGCTAAAATTTACTTTAAAAGACCAGTCTCCTTTCAAATATTTACAGACTAATCAAGTGTATATAAATGGGAAAAACAAACCCTGATATATTTACATTATAAGCAAGTGTCTAAACCTCAATAATCTAGGAATTCCAATTAGACCTAACTGAAAATATATATTACATGACGCCAGTCACGTAATACATGTAGTGTCTTTAGTCTACGTGACTTTGAACTTGTATTTTGGGCTTTTTCTGTAGTTTTATGTACCTTGTGTGAAATAATGAAACACTGTTGTAATAACAACATGGATCAACTCTCTATATTTCCCACAAAGCCCACAAATGGAACAAAAACAGACTAGAGTGCTCAACAATAGAGTTCTTTGAACATACCACATCATGCAACAGGAATCAAAGGACAGAAGGAAGGAGCGAGCAAAAGGTGTGAAAGTCCAACTCAGAAATAGCTTAATGCCATTATACATGTATTTTTGGAGTTCAAAACTGGTAGACATCTGAGATAATCCTATGCCTCCCAACCTGGAAATGTTCTCAGTGGTGTCTGAATGTTACTGTTGCCTCAGCAATATAATTCCACCTCATGAATTTGACTGACCTGGGACTTTCAGGCATCCATCTTCCCCTAGCTCAAGGACACTGGGTCGATCCAGCTATTCATCCATAGAAGAAAAAACATATCAGTTATTGATATGTACACTGATTAAAGCAGATATGGTACAGTGTAAGTGCAAAGATTTAAGCTTCAGTAAATTGCATCAACAGGATTCCAACTAAAGGTGATCAAATGAATGCTTACAAGTACCCATCAGCCTAGCAGAATATCAGAAAGAATTTAAAATGTTGTCATATTTACAAAACCACAACAGGCAAGAAATAATCTTCAAATAAGAACACATCCAGTCTGGTTTCAAGTTTGAAAAACATTTTTCATGAGGCTCATCCATCTTCAGTTTTGCATGTAAATTAGACTGCTAGTCAGTGTGACATAAATACAATGTGCAAAACTGTTGTTAAACACCCAAGTTAATCATGTCAATTCATCACTTTCATTTAAATCGTCCTAGTCAATTTCAGATTTTCAGTCTCTTCTACTCTTTGGTCAATGTCAAAGTTATTTTTCAAAACACCGGGTGCATCAAATCCTTCTTCCCATACAAGGACCGTCTCGACCACTCACAATTGAAGGGGTGAGTGCAAAACCATGCTGAGTGACGATTTGGGTGAAAAAAAAAAAATTTTCGTGAAAGGGCTTGAATTTTTGCATGTGGTCTTCAATGTTACAGAAAAACTTGGTCTTGTATTTTTCCCACTGGTTTTTGCTTCGTTTATGAAGACGCCGCTAGGAAAACCGAGTGGTTTTTTTGCATACACAATATCTCGAAAACGAAGCGAAGCTTAGTGCGAAAACTACGGGACATTGCTAAACATACCTAAACAAAACTGCATGTGAAATTTGGAGCATTTTCGACAAAGTTCACTTTTGATTAAAATATCTAACGCCCTTTTCCTGCCAAGGCCTTCAAATAAACGAAGCCGGGCCTTTGTTATGATAAACAGAGCTGATCCTTTGTTATAATAGCCACACCAAGCCTTTGTTATAAGTTGAAGTCTTGCCTCGGTTTATCATAACAAAGGATCAGCCCGCCGTGACCGCAAGGACTTTGATTTCACTTAGAAAGCAGCAAAATGTCAATTTCACGCAA